ATAATGTAATACCTATTAAATATTGAAAAAAATTATTGTAATGAGTAAAATTAGAATGGAAAATATCTAACACTGAAAGAGCCCTCCCTCAACTTTAATAATTATATTTCTTTGAGTAAAGAGCATAGATATACATGTTTTTTTTTGAAAAAACTACAACTTACAATCTTGTGTAATAATCGTATTATATTTTCTCCTCATCTGCAGATGTTTCGCTGACTCTTCAAAATCTACCTATTTTTGGTCGACCATTTATTTATTTTTGGAATCTTCATCTGTATTTTGATTTAAGGAATATTCTGATATATTTTCAAAAATTGTATTTCAAGTCAAATATAAAGCACAACATACTGACATTGTTTCTAATCATTACACAGAAAATTCGATTAAAGATGTTGTTACTCGTCAAAAAAAGAGGATCTTCCAAATCAATTAATAGGATTATTACTAATTGAGAGATCCCGTTTCCACAACAATGGAATTTATTTGTTCACTGAATATTTAATAATAAACTGTTAAAATATTTTTTATCAAACGAATTTCCTGATTAAGGATTCCATGATTATAAGATACAATTTGTAACGAGTGGCGGATTTAATAACATGCCAGACTTTAAATTCAATATTGATATTTAAAAAGAAAAAGGATAACTATTAGAACCAAACCACGAGGAAGCTGGCACTAGAATTCTACTTCATGTACTCTTTGCTAAAACGAAAGGTTTTTCTACATGCGTTATTGACTCTAACAATACCGATGTGCCTATTATTTTGGTGTATTTTAAAAACCTTTTTCCTAGTGAAATTTAGTTAAAAGACTGAATCATTAAATTTACTGGTTACGTGGCAGTTCATGAAATAGCCCTTAACGACAGTCTAACGAACAACCTACCTTCTTTCCATACTTTAACAGGATGCGATACTAAGAGACAATTTACTGGAATGGTAAAAAAGATCCATTCCGAAGATCTGTTTAATATTATTAAAAAATTTGTAATAAAATTATATTCGTTGTTATTCATCCTCTTAATGTATTAAGAGGTTTAATGGCCTCTTCAATGGAGCTATCTAGGCTACCCCAACTCGTGTCGGATTGGGTCGTCAGCCGTCGGTCTACCGGTCATAAGATCGGTAGGCCTTTATTCAAGCAGTGGGCCTTTGAGAAGAATAAAGAAAATCCTGTAATACGTGGCAGCCACGGAAAAAGCATCAATGTGCAAAGAAGATCTTTTTTACAATGAACCTGACCATGAAAACAAATGTATAGGTGAGCCCTTCTCCCTCCTGAACAAGTAGGGCCTACGGGTCCCAATCCGATACAGCCTTCAACAGACGATTCCTTGAAGAGGACAGCGAAGAATCAGAAAATAAGAATATTTCATACGATTTTTAAACAAGATTCTAAGTTGTGGTATTTCTAATAAAAAAATATAATTATCCAAGTTCTTTAAAGAGATATAATTATTGAGGAAGGGCTTTTTCAGTGTCAGATATTTTTCCCTTTTAATTTTACTTCTGGCACATTTATTTATTTTTTTTAATATTTAGTAGGCATTATTACTAATAATAAATTTATTCGAGACCCTTATTTCAGAGGTCTTGCATACAGGGTATCCTTAATTATATAAAACGGAGACAGATTGAACGTCTCATAATTTTAAGCAAAAAGGTTTATATTAACAATGGTCCGATTTCCATAATTAGCAAAGTTACTGGTGGTTTAAAATTGATAGAAATGGCTTAAAATTATGAAATCTATAAACTGTTTCAATTGGATCTGTACAATTTGGGACATCTGTAAAAAACATTATCAGAAGTAAAATAATTTATCTACAAAAATTATTAAGATTGTTTGTCCGTTGTGGTGATAATGGGTGCTATGATTGAACGTTTACGTTATTCGTAACGTACATGTTAGGCTGAATTCTGACATTAATGAGGCAAGTTAGTAAGATGGAAAACTTTTTCCAACACAATACTGTTATTTTCCGCCTGTTATGTTCTAATTTAACAGTTTTCCATCATACAAATTTGCCTCGTTACTGTTAAAACTCAGCCTAACATGTACGTTACGGATAACGTAAACGTTCAATCATAGGACCCAATGGCAAGAGGCGGCAGGTGGAATTTATCATTTTTATTTCTAAGCAGATAATTCAAATAATATAATATATTTAAACATTAAGGCAAAATCTAGTTGAATTCAATTCAACATGACAAAATCACTCAACCACCGCCTTTCAGGAATTGACCAGTTTTTTGGCCCGTGGCAACACTCGATGGCTTTGTATTGATAGCTATAGAATACCAAATTAGACTTGAAATCATTGATTCGTGAGTTTGCAAAAAGAAAAGTTAGAAAAAGGGTATTTTAATTACTTTGGTTAGTTAGAATTTATTTATAATATGGGATATTAGTTTAGTTAGCATTACTACATTTTAATTTTTGTTATTTTGCCTTAAGTGCTAAATTGCTTATCTTGTTATCTAATGATTGAGTTTTTTTAATTTTTTTTTTAATGTTTTCTTAACTTTCTGATATGGTCGCATGAGATTTACTTTAAAAAAAACGGGTGGGGGGGGGGCGCAAAATGAAGGTTTTGCCCGGAGCGCCAAAATGTCAAGGGCCAGCCCTGACTTTTTCATTAGGTATCGGTTGTCTAGAAACTATAGACGCGATCATCTTTTTTTATGTTTTTATTCGATGATTTTCCTCTCTTCTTTGTAGGCATTCTCAGATCTCTGTATAGGTCTGAGTTGCTAACAAACGAAGGGGCCTTTAATATTTTATTCTGGAAACGTTGTATTATATTTATGTTTATTTTACTTATTTTTCTATTCATCAACCAGTATAATTTTCTATATTTAATACCCGTTTTTTCTTTATGTGATTTTTCCACTCCAATTTAATATCTAAATTTGTGACTAAGTATTTCTACGAATTAGAATATGGTATTCTAGTATGATTTAATGTCATTGGTAGGTATTATACTGATCTTTTATTAGTGAAGTTAACATGAACTGTTCTAGGTTAGTTGAGCTTAATTCGTCATCTTTTTGTCCACTTGTAGATTTTATTAGTTGCATGTTGAAGTTTTCTGGTCGATTTTTCGATGGTTTTACCGATGACAAGTATGGCTGTATCGTCGGCAAATGTGGCTACTTTCTCATTTTGCGTTTGTGGTATGTCATAGGTAAACAACAGGTAAAGAACTGGTCCCAAAACATTTCATTGAGGCACCCCTGCTTTAGTTTCTTTAAGCTTCAAATATTCTTTTTCCTGGTTTTACTCCCATTTGTCACAAGAGTTTTAAATTATATCGTGGTGGGATATATACTGCTCCGACTGCGAAATTGTATTTATTTTTGTTATAATAACTGCTGTTACATGTATTTCTTTTTATTTTGTTTTCTGTCATAATGGTTAATAGTTTCTGTTTTATTATGGCGCTTTCACCTCTAGCTCTATCCGAGGATGTATACTACTATAGACTTTGTACCCTTAAAATTATATATATCTTTGTTTTGTTAAATGCGTTTCTGATATTAGACAATTATCTATATTTTGTTCTATTAGTGACATCTGTAACTCTTTTCCATGGTTCATTTACATTTCACGTTACAATGAGTTTTTACGCTCCATTATGGATGTCTAGATGTTTGGGAGAAGGTGGCCACCTCTAATCTGGTATTTCTGTCCAGATTTGTATTAAGCATAGTCATTATTTGGTTCATTGAATAGTCGTTGTTAATTTAATTGAATCTGTTATTACTATCAACATTTGCCATTCTTTGTGAATTATTAATGGTAGGTCGTCTAGTTTGGAAATTATTTCTATTGTGGTTAGGTTTGCTTACCAGGTCTCTTCTGCATTGTATATTTTTTGACACTTTGCATCCTCTATAGCTTGGTGGATGTGTTTGATTGCCATTTTTGCATTTTGGTGGTACACTTCAGATTTAAGATGGATTTTGGCACATTTAACACACACCGGTTGCCTATTACAAAAGTATTTATTATTCCCATATATTTGGCACCGATTGCATTAGGGTAACAATTTTGGGCTTCTGTAATGTCTTAATTTCATAAATCCTGTTAGAAACTTCACTGTTTTCAAATGTTAACATGAATAGCGGCAATGGAGTTTTTTGTAGAAGTTCTTATAACTTGATTTCCTCTTTCTTTTTCTTTAGTTTTTCTCCTTTGAATATTAATCATCTCCAAGATTTTATCCACTATGATTTAATTCTTCAGCTTGTAGGTAGGAGTCACTTTTATTGGGTTGGTATGTTTCATCTCATATGAATACCATTGATAGCCTTGATTTAAGAGATCTGTTGTTATTGTTCTATATTCTTGTTCATCTTTCACGTTTAATTTGATTTCATCTTTATTTATTATGGTAACTACAAAATTAGGTTCCTTACTTATTAGTTTTTGTCTTAACTTTTCACAGTTTTTAACATGAGTTACTATTATTGGTGGTGGTAATTCATGTTGTGGTTTTTCTTTTTGTGCAATACTTTGTTGAGCGTTTTATTTCGGTTGGTTTAATTTTGCTTCTTTTTGTACGTTGTATTGTTTTTTGGTTGTGTTTCGAGGTGACACGTTTTTTGACTGTTGCTTCTTCTGAATCTGTTTAGATATACTGTTGTTATTGTTTTGCACATCTAACATCATTTCAATTTGTTGTATTCCTTATTGCATTTCCTGCAATTATTTAGTTAAACCCTGTATAGCTGAATTTTTTCTCATCATCTTTAACTGTTGTTTCCATATTAACTTTAGCAATCATTGTTTTTTTTTAACGATTACAATTTAGCACATATGGAAACTAATATATTTTAATTGAAAAAGAATTTTTTTCTCTTTAGCAAATCATATTTTTTCGAATCCTTGATAAGAAACATACAACAAAGTTCATTTAAAAGTTGTTTGGAAAATGTTTTGAAGTGTAATTGATATAGTTAGTATTTCTCATTTACCTGTGTATACGTCATCCAGCAACAGGGTTCCACTTGATTCGCGTCGAGGCCCCAAAATTCTAATTCTTCTTCAAAAAGTGGTCCACAAACATCAGACGGATAATGCAGCTTACCCGTTCTGTAAAAATAAAAGACATTGTTTTAGATATTTATCTACTGTTAACAATGAAACGCTTACGAACAAGAATTATACAGGGTAAATGTTTAGTTAATACTTTTTCTGTTTCTAGAAGTCGTTAAAATAAACAACTTTTTCAAATACCTTTTTCAAAAAACTCAAAAATAATGATATAATTAATCTAAACTTGTGTACGAAAAATTAAACGAATTATTAATTATTTCTGTTTATCTGTTTTTTAGTAGTTTATTTTTTACGAATACAAATCCACGAATATTGTAATGCTATGGCCTCATTTCGTTAGTATGTCAGTAGTATTTATCTGTTCAGAATGCTAAATTAAAAATTAAATGCATTTAGAAGGACACATTTTAAATAATAATCCTTTATATATTGAACTTGAACATTTCCCCCAGATATAATTTTTATACAATTTTTCAAATACACCTTTACAAGATGTGAAATAGGAAGATGGTGTTTTATCATTTTAAAATTGTTTTAAACTGTTTGTATTCGTCCCTGTAATTTTTATAAATTGACTGCACCTGAAGATGGAAAAATTATATTTTCCGAAACATATGTAGTGTGCTAAACAATAGAAAATAAAAACATTTGACCCAATAAACCAAGGAAATTTTTATTTATATAAAGTTCTGCTACGAATATTATCCTTATTAAAATTTTTATAAATGGTTCTTACAATGCATGAATGTAATCAGTATTTTTCTACGAAAGTTATAAAATTATACAGTATCGTATTTAATACAATTTAGAAATAATTCTAGGTTTTTTATTTTTGAGTTTATTGAAAAAGTTGTTAATTTAATAACTTCTATACATAGCTTGGGATTTACCCTATATAATTTTAATTGTTATTTCAAATTATCGTTTGTTACAACCATTATAGATTTAGAGCAAAATATTTACCCAATTGATTTCAATTGCTCATTCAATGGTCTAAAATAATTCTAAAAATAAAACACAAATAGGAGACACAGTTTTGCTTTAGATCTGGGACAACCAATATTCAAAGGTCAGAAAGCAGTTATTTACATAGCTGATGCCACTCTGGGTATTGAGTTATTTTCAAACACGGCTGTTATAATTACAATACAATTGCATTTGAACCGATCATTTATTAATACGCCAGTATAATCTAATTTGAGTCATGGTAATGTTTCCAACATTAACATCAAATTATTCAAATAAGCTTTTTTTATTTTCTATATTGATCGTATGATATCAAGTTTTTCCCAGTAACCGTTGTCTAGCTCATTGTACCATATTTTTATGCCTAATAAGAAAAACTTCCTATTTAGAATTCTCCTTGCAAACACAAATGAATCAACTTAAAAGGAGTATTTACTTGGTTGTAGCGCGGAGCATCCAAGGGTTTCGTAGTACCCCACTTTTAAAGTTTATTTTTAAATTTTTCTAAAAGAAAAAAATATGTACGTGTAGGTAAAGGTTAAATCTGTACTCCTCTGAAGACACTTTTTTAAAATTTAATTCATTATTTTATAAAAACAAATACAAAACTAAACTTTTTTTACCCATTTTCTCAATAATTTTTAGAAAAAACTAAATTGAATTTTGAAAAAGTGGTTCCAGAGGAGCATAGATTTAACCTTTACCTATACGTAAATATTTTTTATCTTTTAAAAATAGTCAAAAATAAACTTTAAAAATGGGGTACTACGAAACCCTTACATTGTAAGATTTGTCGTCTGGAAAGTGGCGCCTCTGTTAGATTTTTAAGAAATTAATATTGTGAATGAAAACAATTTAGAATATATTTTACTGATATAATATTACGAGAGATAAATAAATTTTATGTGTTTGTACACATTATTTTTTACGTAAATAATTTCTGTAATACTAACATTGGCATATACAGTGATGAGCAAATGTGGGGAACCAATTAAATATCTCTAGAATTATTAGAGATATTGAAATGAAAATTGAAAGGTAGGTATAACATTAAATTGTCTATTTGATTTTATTTTTTTTAACAATGATATCTAGTAGTCTAATTGAAGAAGTTAATAATAATAATAATTATTAATTAAAACTAAATTAATTACAAAGCAGTGAAATAAAACAAGAATATCATGTAAACAGAAACTAAACTTAATGTATTAATTGTTCAAACTGAGCACTGTTTACTTCTTGACAATAGGCAAGTCGAGTTGTAAATTCTCTTGTAATATTAGCTACTACTTCTGGTGGAATTCTTTGAATCTCTTGTGTTATTCTTTCAGCTAATCCTTGCAAATTATTTGGTCTGTTAATATAAACCTTGGACTTTAAATAACTGACTAGAAAATAGTCCAGTGGATTAAGGTCGGGACTTCGCGCAGACTATTCATAAGTACCTCTTCTTCCAATCCATCTAAGATGAAATGTATTATCTAAACGATCTCGAACAATGCGAGCGTAATGGGGTGGTGCCCCATCCTGCTAAAACCAAATATTATTTGGCAGATGTCCATTTACCTCCAGTGCCGGAATCACTTATCTATCTAAAAGTTATAAATACCTCTCCCCGTTTAAATTTTCTTGTAAGAAGAAAGGTCTCACAATTCTGTTGTTGTAAATACCGGCATAAACGTTTAATTTCTGGGGATGTTGTGTATGAGCCTCTTGTACCCAATGAGGATTATTTTGCGACCAGTAGCAGCAATTATGTCGATTAACCGTACCGTTCAAACAAAATGTAGACTCGTCTGAAAACACCACATTTCTTACAAAATCATTATCACGGTTGCAAATATCCATAATCGTTTCACAAAATTCTAAACGTCTGTCAAAATCGTCTTCAGTAAGCTCTTGAACAAGACGAATTTTGTATGGATGATATTTTTCTCGCCTTAATATCCTTCCTACTGTACGACGGCTAATTGCGTACGTATTGGCGAGTTCAGTTGTGAATAAATAAGGATTTTCTTCTAAAGATATAGCAATATTTTAAGCAACATTTTCAGTTGTTGCTCTTTTTAAACGTCCACTTTTTGGTAAATTGCTGACGGTTCCACTTTTGTTACTACCGAAAGTGATATCTGTCGATTCGGATGAATATTGTACCAAAGATCACAAACTTCTTGATGCGTCCTTCTCCTGTCCCCATACCCAATCATCATTAATATTTCTATTTTTTCTATTTTACTTATTTCGGCCGTTTTAAGTTCAGATTCAAATATTACTTACTTATTTTGACAGCCAATGACACTTATAAAATGATTTTCATGGACTACTAGATATCGTTAGATTTTTCCTTACTTTAGTTATGTTTTTGTTAAATCTCGGTTGGCATTGAAATAAAAAATATCGAATCCGATATTTTTGAATTTGTAATATAATACCTTATTCGAAAATAAAATAATATACAGGGTGTTTCATTAAAAAATTTAATATCGATATTACTTCTCTTTAAACCGGAAGTTCAAAATTATTAAAAAAAAATAAAATCAGATAGGCAATTTAATGTAATACCTACCTTCCAATTTTTATTTTAATATCTCTAACAATTCCAGAGATATTTATATATTTCCACACATTTGCCATCACTGTATATTATATGCAAGGGTTTCATAGTACACCAATCTTACGGACTATTTTTTATTTTTACTAAAAGAAAATTTATGTAAGTACAGGTAAAGGCTAGACCCGTACCTTTCTGGAGTCTCTTTTGAAAACAATCTAGGAAAAGAAATAGAAATGATAAAAATGCTAAAAGGGAAAAATATATTTAATTTTTGCCTGCAGGACCATTCATTTTTCTTACAATAAAAATAGAAAAACGTTATAGTATATTACATTACGAGTGTGGAAAATCACTTTTCACACAAGTGATGTACAATATTTTTCCTACAACCACAAAATAATTTCATCAAAAAATATAAAATCAGGTTATTATTAAAATAATTAAAATGTATTTAAAAAAATAATCAACAATAATTGTATTTATTAAATTTTCATATTCGTACACGGGTGGAAAGTAAATTCCTATTTATACACGTGTGACATAGGGCACTTTCCATAGGACTATATAATGTGATATGTGTCACTTTCCTAAGTGGTCGTAGGAAAAAAGCTTTTTCTTGTAGAGGGTGACACCAACAAAATATATATCTTTTTCTACTATTTAGTGATAAAGTGATTTATATTTATTTTGTTTTTTTTTACATACAGTAATTTCGCTCAATTATATTAAATTAATTTTATCATTTATTTATTAAAACAATTATCCGAAATTAAAAGGTAAACACTGAGATGTGAATTATAAATATGTTTTTGTTTAACTTTTATAGCGCAAGATTTTTTTGTTGTTTAATGAATACCTTTTCAAGTTAACAATAATTATTAATTCCAGCATGTTAAAAACTCTTCAATCCGTTAAAGGTTAAAGTACTGTAAATCATTTTTTCTACACCCACATGGATATTAGCTTATCTACTCACAGATTATAAGACGAAAAAGTATGCTATTGCCTTCAACTGAATGAATATATCTTATACCATTCTAGGTAGTAGATTAGATTAGATTTAATTAGGACTATGGGCCATGTGGCCTCCCCCACCTCGACCTTTTCAGATCTATTGTGGATATCCTTTAATCATTGTTTAGAGTACCTTGTCTAATGCGGTCTTTTGTAGTAAACTCCATAGACTGGAAAGTAGTTCTCCGGTATAGCTAGTTGCCCTTGGTTTTTCTTCTCCAAGTGTAAGGAGTCTCAGTCTTACTAGACCTTCGCAGTAGCACAATACGTGTTCTGCCGTTTCCTCTTCTTCTTGACAGAATCGGCACAAGGCCTCTTCTGTCAGACCGATATTGAACATATGTTTGTTAAGCCTACAATGCCCTGTTAATAGACCTACTAGTATTCTAGTATTTTTCCTATTAAGGCTTAGTAGATGCTCGGTGAGTTTAGACGATGGTCCTTTTAAGAACTTTTTGGCCTGTCTCTGTCCTGGTGAGTTTTCCCACCACTCCTGAGATTT